AAGAGTCCTTCCTTCATAAAAATGAGAAAGTACATGGAGAGTTAGTTACTAAACCCACAAGCAACCCCAGCAATTTTAACAATGTCTCTCTTTGATGCATACTCTATTCTTTCCATCAATGAAACATAAGAACTGTCTGTGCCAATACCATTTGAAAAGGTATAAATACACTTATTTATCATCATAGCAACCTGGATCCTAACAATGCTCTGTAAACACTGAAGGAAAAAAACCCACACAAATTGGGTAAAAAATACCTCAGGAAGTGTCCATATTCAGAAACAATATTAGTATTCCAGAAATTATTCAAAAAGAAGCCCTGGACAAACCAAATATCTTTTATCTAGAAGTAAAGGAAGACTTCATAGAAGATATTTTCATACTTCTAAGAGTCCTGCCTTAACATAAAACCTAATGCAAAGAACACTAGATCAGGTGATTGCTGTTTCTGTTTGTGCTCTAAACAGTAAAAAGAATATTTTCACAGATCTGCAACATTTCTGGGTAAAACTTTACACCTCATAAATAAATGGCTAGAACTACTTGCAAAACCAAGTGCATGTTGCCTAATAAGGTTGCATGTGTAAAGTGTGATTTATTATAGACACAGTTCAAACAGACTCGGTGAAAATTTTGCCTTATGAGTACTATTAATATCAAAAATAATTTATAGGCATTTCATAGTAGAACAGCTTATAAATACATTCACCCAGGTTGTTCTGTTTCTTTCCATTCTGCTCCCTTTGGGATATTTGAGTAAGGTAAAGGAAATAGAAAGCTAATAGAAGATAATGGATGGTTATAGAAAGTATTCTTCACTTTGTCAGAGCATAAAGCCATATCCATCATTGTAACAGTTTTAAGAACTTGTTTGACGCTTTATCTGTACATTCAACAAAATTTTTGAATGAAAAAATCAGTTTTCTGATGAGAAAGTTTACCCAAAAGCCTTTCCCTTGCCCCTTCCCCCGCCCTTTATAGAAAGGGATTAGCTCAGGATTTTTAAGATTAAACCAATTACTTATTTGGTTTTGAAAAGCTTGTTTTTAGATGTGCTAAATGCTTTTAACTTATCTCTGCAACAAATAAATAGGATGAAACTATAGATTTGGATAACTTAGTCTCCTTTTAAGAGTCCATTATGCCCAATCTGGGCTCCTGGGAACGTTCTGCTTTTGAGAACACTTCCTAAGCACTCAGGGCCGTCCAGGTACCTTATCTTGAGGACTCAAAAGTCCCAAGTCACTGCAAAGATACAAGCCAGCACCGGATTGTGGAAGAGTTTATCTCAAAAAAAAAGTAAACAGAGAATCAGAGGTAATAAAGTTCTAGTTATGGCTATAGTGATTTTAATGTAAGAAATATAAAAATGGTGTAGCAACAATTATTTTTAGAATTCTGGTTTTAACTCTGAATATTATTTACATAATTTCACATTTTTAATTTCAGATGACCCAAGAATCTGTACAACATGCATTCAGAACTACTATATGTAAGTATAGCTGTGTAGCTGTTCAGGCCCATACATTTTTCTAAAGCAAAAATGTGTGCTTCTCTCCGTAGATCTGTGCTGTGTATGTTATCCCATTCCTTTCTTTTTAAGTATTGCCTATCTGAGAACAGTAACCTTGGAAAAGACTTGTGAAATGCTGAAAAAATAGCCAATTGCTAACTATCATGGCCTTTTAAACCTTATGGACTGATGGGAACTTTGCATATATGAAGAGGATTATGGAATAGAAAGGGTCTAAAAGTTAAACAGTGCCTCTGGATTCGGAACCAGTATGCTCTTAGTATACTGTGTTCGGGTTTCCTCTGGGTAGAGTTAATTTTATTCATAGTAGCTGGTATAGTGCCGTGCTTTGGATTTAGGATGACAAGAATGTTGATAACACACTGATGTTCCGGTTGTTGCTGAGCAGCACTTACACTAAGTCAAGGACTTTTCAGCTTCTCATACTGCCCTGCCAGAAAGGAGGCTGGAGGTGCACTAGAAGCTGGGAGGGGACACAGCCAGGACAGCTGACCCAAACTGGCCAAAGGGGTATTCCAGACCATATGATGTCGTGCTGAACAAAAAAACCTGGGGAGTTGGCTTGGGGTTGGGAGGAGCAGCCACTGCCTGGGAACTGGCTGGGCATCAGTCAGTGGGTGGTGAGCAACTGCAGTGTGCATCACTTGTTTTGCATATTCTTTTACCATCATTATTAAATGTGCCTTTGTTTTTGTGCCTACACTTAAAAAAGAAAATCAGATTAGTTATACTTAAGAACCCTGAGATTAGAAAACATGAATTGTCAATATTCACCAGTTGAACAAGTAACATAAGCACAAAACCCCTTTGAAGCCTTTGTTAGAGGAATAGTTTCTGCTCATTAGGATGAGAATAGGGCTTTACCATTACCATAGCTAAAAACATACGGAAAACAAACTCAGTGACCGGAAAATAAACTTACTAATGAAGTTCTACTTTATCTTATAGGTATAAGCAGCATTGCTATAAATACTGCCCAGAAAATACCTATAGAGATGAAGCTTCTCTGCAGTGTAGAGAGTGCCCTAGCAACTGTGATAGCTGTGACCAGAATGAGTGTGACTCATGTAAGGAAGGCTTTTATCTCTCAGGTAAGCAAAGTAACAAGCATGGCATATATGCAAGCATATTTTAGACTTTTTCTTTACCACAAGAGTGTGGACCCAACTTCTCAAATTCATAAATCTCTTCTATGGCAGACAATGGAGGCTGAGGGGAGTTAGGACATTGTAGAATCGGGTCCTTTGCATTAATGTAAGGTGGTTATGTCAGCCAATGGCGCCATTTGGTTCCAAAGCTCCATATATTTGACTACAAATTCCAATTTTTTTCTTTTTTCATTATTTTTTTTAATGCATTTCTACCCTTTTGGGCAAATACTAAAAAACACTGTTTGTGAAAGGAGGGGGTTTTAACTCACAGAAAGACATGGAAATGTTTCCTTACTATTTGCAAGTCCAGTTTTGCTTTGGCTTTCAGGTCCACAGAAAGTAACAAGCCTTAAACACTCTGAAATGAGCTCAGTTAAAACCACTACATTCCACAAGATTCACACAGGACTAGGAATCTCTTAACTTTATTATGAAGCCATAAATCAGGCAGATATGTTTTCAGACAAGGTGCCAAATTCAAATCACAGAAAATCCTGAGTTATGGTATTTCTGTGTATTGCCCGCTGAAGGTGCCCAGCAGTGAAGTACAGAAGCATCGCACTCATGGAAAACTATGGTTACAACCTGAGGTGATCTGGTGGTCTATGGGGTTTTTTAACTGAAATTGGAGGAAGCTCAAAAAGCTATCAGTGTAAAAACTTCTAGGGCTTTGCTTCAGTATTCCAACCCTTAAATTGAATAAGGTTTACCTCAATTTACCTTTATATTTACTAGAAAGCAGACGTTCATCTACTCCTCAAGATTTGCATATCTCTAACAATCTCAGGGAATTCTGGACTTAGATTTCATATTGGGCCAGTATAAAATTTGGGACTAAACTATAAATTTTTTATCTAGATTTGGACTTCCTTAAGCTTTGTATGTACCAGTATTTAGGATATGGATGAAAACCCATCTAGATATCAATTTAATTGGTTTGAATTCTGTGAAGTTTGCATAAGAAACTGAGCTGAATTTAGGTTTCACACTAAAAAAATCAGAGTTTATATAGCTACAGACATTTTCATGGGTTCTAATATACTGCTTTTTTCTTAGACAGATTCTTGCTGGATTCTTGCAGGGGTCAGTAGATGCCATGATATGAGGCTCTGTTTCTGTTACAGGTGGCATGTGTGTGAGTGAGTGTGGAGAAGGCTTCTTCACTGATGACATCTCTAGAGAATGTGAACCTTGCCATAGGAGCTGTGCAACATGTGTGGGGTACAGCTACAAGAACTGTACTGGATGCAAAAACAGTTTCCAGCTATCTTATGGACAGTGCCTGAATCCAAGAAATTCTCCACCCTATGGGAAGTTCTGGAGTGGTAAGTTGCAACAGATCCCTTAATCTTTCTCTGAAGACTACTAAAAGTTTTCGAAAGAGGATATCAAGATCTTTTAGCTTGAGTGAAACTGCACTTCTCTCAAACTCATTGTCTTTTTAAAAATATAATGACCAAAACCATTGGTTTCACAGAGTGAAATTCATCTCCCTGCAAATAGCATAGCATTTTAATAAAACTTAGGTGTTCCTTACCTGGCAGTTATCTTGATAGATAAAAGATTAAAAAATAAAAGATAAAAAAGATGAAAAAGATACAAGATACATAATAGATTAAGGTACTGGGAGCTCCTTACCTGAAGTACAGGGAGCCTTATAGGCTATGTGTTAGACCAGCTTTGTAGCTATTGATTCCATATACAGAAGTGAATGCAAGTTGGAGGAAATGGAAAAGGATCAAATATGTGTGTGTATGTAGCGTGTGTTTAAAAGCAAGCTCTCTTTTCCCTTCTCCCCTCTAATGTAGGCAGGCACCACTATCTAAGGGACCAAACACAGGATGTAGAACTATATTCTGGAGTTTTTGTCCTACCTTGGCCATTTCCACAACCTTCACAAAATAATCAGTTCTTTCTTGGTTCCCTCATCCATAGCATGGGAAAAACAATTCCCCGTTCCAAAAAAAATTAAACAATTTGGAAAATGCTTTTAAAATTTAAAGCTGTTAAAAGGAACTAATTGTATTCATTTTTTACATTACTTTACTTCATAAGCGTTTTCAAATGCATCCCAGTACTGTCACAAATTTCTTGTTAAGAAAGGGTCATATGAAAAGTGTGTAATAGAATATTTCCTGTTCCCATTATGTCAGTTATATAAAGCACAATCGAATAGGTTATGTTACCAAATGAGGCAGTGCTAATGGTGAATTTATCACCCAGCACACAAATTAAAACTCATTTGGTATGAGTATTCATCCTTTCTAAATGAAACCTGTGCAGCACGTGGAAACTCAATAGTTAGGATTCCAAGTGGCACTTTGTAATTATATGTCTGCCATACCCTCCAACAAAGGGCAAAATTTCCTCTAGAGTTTCAATAGCTGCTTTGCTGATCACTGTAAACACAGGGAAAAGTCAGTGTCATATAATCCTTTCACTGTCTTTATAGTTGTAAAGTGTCAGCTGGAACAACATGTATAATTTTGGGAACAGTGTTTAAAGAAAGAAGTGGGCCAATTAGAGAGGAAACAGTGAGGATTACCAGAAGTCTAGGGAAAAAAAATATTTACAATGAAAGGTTGAGATAAATGAGGGGCTTGGGACTAAAGGAGACAGCTAAGAGGAACACAGTCACAAAGAAGAATGGAATAGATCAGGTAAGTGCCGTAAACAGGACTTAAAATAGAGAAAAGTTTTAGATTTGGCATTGGAAAAAAGGGGGACTTTCAAATGGAATAATGGAGTAATAGTAGAATGCTTGAGGAGGTTTTGAGATTTCTGTCACTGGGGGTCTTTAAGAACACACGAAAAGCATCTGACAGGGAAGTTCACTGAGTGGAGTAAGAGGCTAGATTACTTAAGGTCCCGACCAGCTTTATTTATCAAATACAAATTTTCTTCTGATTCCTGTGTCTTTGAGTCAAACACATCAAAGAATGACTATCCTTCGATCTATATGACCTTGAATTAAAAATTAAAATATACTGCCAAATATTTTCAGAAAAAATATTGACCATTTTTACTCATTGCCTATCTACGGAGAACTGTTGTACCAAAAGAAATAACATTTCTTCACTTCAGAAAAAGATCATAGAGACCTAAACCCGAGAAATATTAATGGAAAGTTGGTCTCGTCTATGCATTTCCTTGTGTTTTGTCCATATGAGTAAGTATTTTCCCAGTTTGAGACTATCTACATCAGTGCGATGGAAAGAACACATCTGTAGTTTGGTATATCTATTGGTTATCTATTTCTCACACTGTCAAATGTCATGATTCATTGTCAGCTTTTTTTTTTTTTTCTTTTGAGCAGGCAGCTGATGCAGTTCTGTATATACCAGCATTACTGTGCTGTGGAACCTCTTTCTCTCCATCTTGTGTACCATTTCTCTTTCCTTCCAGTAGTTAAAAAATACATCTTACTTAGGGGCATTTCAAACTGTAAGATACATCTCTCTCAGAGCTGTACTGGCTTGAACGTTAATGGCTGCTCCAAAGTCACAGGGTTCCTGCTGCAGCTGCTGATGGGATCCCAGGGAACCCGGCTGGAGGCTCTTCACCTTCTCTGGGGTAGACTTGCTGGGATTCCCGCAGTGTGGCTGCAGCCATGCCATGTAATTGCTGCAAAAGTGATGTTGAACTCGATGATATCTTGACCCTTTTCTCACCAGGGTAGGCTTCCAAAAAGTAGTAACCTTCAAGTAAAAATGTTAATGAAGCTTTCACTGCCTTTACTAAAGTTACACCCTAAATAACTACATTTCTCAGCAGTATGAGAAGTTTCTTGCTCAGGATCTGTAGGTTCATCTGGTTCTCCAAACAATCATTTTCATTTGCTAATTAACAACAAAACCTAAATGGTTTCTTTTTTTGGCTAGAATACTACTCTTTCACTCGTTTCTTTTGATGATGTATTCAAGAGGCAGATATCAGCTGACTCCAGATTTCCAACTGTGCCATCTGTATTTGAAATTCACGTTCCACACTGAAGATCCTTAACAAAAAATAAAGGATTCATGCAGGACCAAACCACATTTAACTCTAGCAGTACATCACACCAATAGGGTAGTTCCTAGTTAGGGACTGCAGTACATTTCACACCCTGGTAATGTTTTGAAATATGTGCATAGTTTTAAAAGAGAAAAAAAAAAGGGAAAGAAAAAGAAACCGAGTTTCACTATCTGTTACACTTACTTTCTTGTCAAAAGCTTTCTGAAAACCAATAAAATTTAGGAGAGGCAGCGACTGTCTTTTATTGCTTTGTTCAACAATGCTGTAGGATCAGTACAAGAATGGACAACATGAAAACCTTTTTGTGCTCCTTGAAACTTACTGTCAGTGAGGATTCTGGCTAGCATTCCTGTACAGAAATCTCCCTGTGCCTGGAACAATGATCCCTCTCCAGATCTTCTTAAGCATTTCTGTAGGGCCTCCTCTTTTCCATTATTTGTTTTAAAGAAGATTATGGGGACAGAGAAAATACTTTTTCTTCCATACATGGGTGCAAAGTCATGACATCTTTCCAAGTTTTTCACTGCTTCCTCTGAAAAGATCTCCAAATATTTTATCCCAGTTTACTTCTTTTGTTCTTTAGCTTGTTTATAGCTGCTTTGATTTTCTCCAAGGTTGTTTCTTCTTAACAAAATATAAGGATTTTCCATCTCATCTGTTGTCAAACTCAGTTTCTGAGGGTAGCCCATCATGCAGCATGGGCATGGTCCAAGAAGCTTGTCCATTCTGCAGGGGATATTAAAATACTTTCATGTTTGTTCACCAGTTCAGTGTGGGAAAGACTGTGGCTGAGGTTTGGCTTTTGGCTCTCATCCTCTCTGCCTGTTTATCAATATATGCTTCTTCCACTGGGCACTCAGTGTCCTCAACACATTTACATCGGCGCAGCACCATGGCAGAGCTGCCTCTCAGCTTCAGTGGCCTGAGTTAAAGAATCTAATTAAACAATACAGGCCACACAACTCTTAGTCCTCTCACTTTGGGGGATTGAGCTGGGTGTGGGGGCCAAGTATGGAATAAACAACCTCACCCGTGTCATGGGAATGAAGATGAGATCGCACCAAGCTCATCCTCTACACATGCCCTGCTCCAGACAATGCAGGCAGACAGCTAGGAAGATAGCCAAAATTTCCAAATCCAGTAGTTTACATCAGTTTTTACATTAGTCTTCTATTTACTCTTCTTCTTTAGAAAAGTTACTAACAGAGACTTGAGGTATTAGACCTTGGACTGTATTTACAAATAATGAAGCCATTTCTCTTTGGCTCTTCCAGCCATATGGATTCACTGTGGTTTCAGTGACTGTGTTGACATACCATATAGGACAAAGTGAGTTTTGGGAAACAAAGGCTGTTGTTTTGTTTGATACCAAGGCTAACATAAATTAAAGGGCAGTACATCAGAGCCTACCACAGAGAAAACAACATAGAGTCTGAATTTCTTTGCAATTTGAGAGACTAGTCCATCCATCCAGGTGAGGATTAAAACCTTTGTGAACGTGGAATACACTTTTTTCCCATGTTTAAGCTTTCGCTTCTATCTCTTATGAAAGGATAAATGATAGACCAGTCATGAATTTTTATGAGCACACACTCCAACAACCAAAACTTTCTATGAAAAAAAAAAACTTTCTAAAATTATATTTACTTTGGGGGTATACTTTGCTGGGCAAACAGTTCAATTCATATCAGAAATCATTAATAAGTCATATCCAGGTCTGAAAAAATGAAACAGACCATGTCTGTAGTCCAGGCATTTTAAAAGACAGGGCAAGCCAACAAAGAAAAAAAAAAAAAAAAAAAGACAAAATGAGCTCTGTGTTTCTAGCGTGAAACATCTGTATTTTATCTCATGTACCAGATGATGAAATTACTTTGGAAGCCAGGAGACACACTAGTGTAAGCTTAATTCACCAAGTGAATACACACACCCTTTCAACTGGATTAGATGTTTTGCAAGTTATGGTCAGGTCTTCATTTTGCCCGTTTACTGTAAATACTGCACCCTAAAAATGGGTTCTTTCCTTGGTTACACAGTTTAGTCTACCACATTCTTCTGAAAAGTACGAAAGGCCGAAAAATGGGTATGGAATGAGGTCTGTTTCTGATGCAAATTCAAAATGGAATATGTGCTTCTTTACATGCAGATAATATATGCTGTAGTAAATTATGCAGCTAAATAGCAGCTGGTTCTGTTTACTATTATATACCACCCCCAATAATATGAGCAACCTCCCACAAGCAGTCCTTGACCAACTGCATCCATCTTGGGTATTTTCCTTTTCCTAAATACAGAGTAAATCAAAACAGTA